GGGAGATGTGATCACTGGAACAGGACGTTTATTGGCCTGACGTGTCGGATTCTCACTCGAACCCATCAGCAAAGACGGTTGCAGATAAAGGTAGTGGAGGCACAAAGGCTGCAGTATTTACAGTACGTAGCTGCCGAGGGATCACATGCAGCTCTCATGATCACCGCTGGAGTCGTAATTAGGGCGATACTGGTTCGTCAATCAGCGTCCGAGTCGTTAATGGCCGTGATTTCGTCACCCGTCTTCGATTTTGACGTGATGATGACTGGACAATTCGGCCCGCTGTCGCCAGGATAGTTGGTCGCCCGCGCTCTCCCCACGCGACCGACATCCCTGCTCAGGGAATGTCTCAGCACCGAATATGGTACCAGGAGGTCACTGCGCTTGCTGATGGATTGCGGGCCTGAGAACCATAATTCGAGCAGCTCGTGGTTTATGCGGTTGTCAGCTCTTGCGAGAATTTCGGCCTCTTGTAACTTGAAAATATGGCCGGGTCCCGTCGAATGAGCTGCTACCTGAGAGCTGTCATCTTTCCTCCTCACCGTTGCTGCGTGCCCAGCTATGCGCGTCCGGAATAGTCTCCCAGTGTTTCCGACGTAGTTGCTTTGCCCGCAACAGCACCAGATCCAGACGTCCCCTGCCGTGGCAGCGGGTCTTTCGGCCTCATGACTTGGCGTCTCATGATTGCTTCCGGCCTGTCCGCAACCCCAAGTCCAAGTGGAGTGAGAAGACGACTGACAGCTTCCGAGACGTTCCCCACGTACGGAAGAGTCTGCCAAAATTTGGGGCCGGTTGGATTTGGTCTCTGGTGGTGTTTTCGTATGCACTGGTTGACAAAGTTGCATGGGTAGCCATTAGCTCTCAGTACCCGTCGAAGATATTTTGCTTCAACAACCTTGTCTTCCGTTTCACTGCAATGCGTCTTAATGTGCCGGTATAGCGTTCTTACGCAAATGCATTTGTGACTTATCGGGTGGTTGCTGTTGAGGTTCAGTATTGGCGTCGTATTTGTCGCTTTTCTGAACACTTTGCTTTAAGCCACCTCAATCTATATGGCAGACGAGGTCATCCAGAATGGCCAGCTGGTTGTTTTCTTCCTCCGTCATCGTAAATTGAATGTCTGAGAAGGCGGCATTGAGATGTTCTTTGACTGTCAGCACCTGATCCCGCTCGATGACGACGAAAGTATCATCCACATACCGAACTTAAAATTTCGGTCTGTGGTGTTGGAAAACCAGCGATTCCAACCATTGTGGGCCCGTTTCGGCTATGACTCCCGAAATCGGCAAACCCATTGACGCGCCCTTCACCTGCCCGTAGACTGTTCCGCCGAACGTAAAGTAGGTCTTCAGACAGAACTTCAGGAGTTGGATGATATGGGCATATCCGAACCACTTCTCCGTTTCATCGCATATGCTTTGTAGGAAAAGCTCGACGGTCTCGACTGCCAGGCTCTGCGGAATAGAAGTAAAAATGGACGCAACATCAAAGGATACCATAACGTTGCCTAGCAGGAGACTTACTCCTTTAAGCTTCTCCAAGCATTGTGTTGACAAGCTGACTGTGGTGTCCGAATCGGACGTCAGATACTTGAGACGTCGAAACACCCACTTTGTCTATCCATAGTTTGAAGTGTCTTTTAACGATAAGATTGGCCAGAAAGGAGGGCCCTCTTCATGCACTTTCGGGAGACCGTAAAATCGGGTCAGGGCCGTTTCTTGCGCTCTCGTCACACGTTGGTTGATCGGTGATATTGCACCTGAGTTCTCCATTGCCAACAGCATCGCGGTGATCTCGCGTGTCGGAGTTTTTATGGAATTGGATTCGCATGGGACGTGGGACTGACGATCCTCCATCAAGCGTTTGGCTTTCTAAATGCAGTCTGTCCTGTCCAATGCGACCGTGGAATGCCCCTTGTCTGCAGGCACGATAACGAGCTCGTTGTCGGCCTTGAGTTCCTTTATTACGTCACGTTCGACCTTGGAAGGCACGGTGCGCGGCCAATGCGCCATGAAGAGGGATAACACCTTGTGTTGAATAAGGTTCTTCGTGTCGTCTGTCGCTTCCGTCTGGTTGAAGATGGACTCCACTGCCTCAATCATGTCGGCAGTTTTGGCATCGGCTGTGTCAAATGAGGCCTCATGCCTTAACACCTGCATTTGTTCCTTCGCCAGCTCCTTCGACGATAGTCTGTGCACCATTTTGTCGTTTTTGGATGACGTTGGATTGGGCAGCTTGCGGAATTTGTTCTCTAGTGCTACTTCGCGTGCCGCCATCTGTTCGCGAGTTCGTCCGGCCACCCTCTGCTGAAGCAGGTTAATCCTTTGATGGTATTTGCGAAGCCTTGCGCGACAGTCTTGAAGGAGCACTCGGATCATTCGTCTGCCGTGCTGGAATACTGCGCATCTCGCCAGCTCTGTGTTAATCGGCAGTTTGAACGAAGCACACTTTGGCAACACATTATTGTCTAGACACCTGTGCAGAAACCCAATCTGCGCATATGCAGACGACTCCCGACGGCAAATGTTTCTCACCGTCGATCCATTCGAAACGCATTGTTCCCTAAGAGATTGCCGACAGAGGTGAGCAGGCGAGTTCCGGGAAGCAGTTCAGATGAAGAAGAATAAGAAGAAGAAGAAGAAGAAGAAGAGATCACTTGACTACCTCAGTCCGTACATGTGCCTCCCCGAATCTGGGAACAACCCAACGATCATGTAACCCACCATTATTACTGCACCTTCTCTTATTTCGGAGCTCAAACGTCTCAGCGTTACTCGCGTGGGTCAAGAATCCTCCTGCTACAAAGCATTGTCACTCTGTCGCAGACGCGCTGACCTGTAGGCTCCCGACTACCCAGCATCCAAGCAGTTGCAGTCTTTGCTGTCCCTTCTTAGACAGTGTAAACACCACCCCTGGGTAAATGTGACACGTGCGCCACTTGGACCCAAGCCAAACTGAATTGGCTATGACGCCACATACTCCCTCCTCTCTCTCTCTCTCTCTCTCTCTCTCTCTCTCTCTCTCTCTCTCTCTCGCTCTCTCAGCATTGACAACATCGCCAACACACGTCCTGGCCTCGCCAATAGCTGTTGCCGTCTGAGACAGCAACTCTTGGCTCCATTCACAATGAACCCCTCTTGTTCTGTTAACCGGGATTGGGCGCATGAAGGTCGCCCATTTTCTGAGGTCCTACAAATATACTCCGACGACCGCTTCCACTGGCGGATCAGACCGCACGATAGTAGTCTGGGTGTCTTCACACGGAGTGAAGGTGAATGCAGGCAAAACACCCAGACATCAGCTTCGTGCCTACTCAGCCACTGTGTCCTATCTCAAAACCAGTGGCCTTGACCTAGTCTCACCATTGTTTACTGTCAACCAAGGTTAATCATGATGAGTATATTACTAAACGTCGATCCGGGCGTCTAGTGGCATTGCGTCACCCAGCTATGCTACTTTATACATAAATATGAGGCTAGTCCCGTTGATACTTATCGTCAGATGGTGCCAACACATACATGACTGCAGTATTCTGTGCTTTCGTAATTACTTCGAAGTTTTGTAGCCACAGGTAAAGAGTTCCATGCTCCACCGTGGGACGTAATACACTGCTATAGGAGAGCAGGAGGTCGTGGACAACGGGTCTCGATACCTTCATGCGCGAGTGAATGCGCTAAACATTTAGCAAATATCTAGGGGTTCAGTGCCTAGGGTTGATTTCAGGCCACACCTCGTGGTAGGCGTGACGCACAACCTTGCTTCACACCTTTTGTCATTGTGACTTCTTTTGAGGTTGATCGGTTGTCCGTGATACGCACCATCGCCGGGAATTGTGGTGTTTCACTCTCCCCCTCCCCTCCCCTCCCAAAACCCGAGCTACAGCTTAATTGTATACGTGCCCGTATCTTTTAATTCATTACTTCAATAGTCATGTAAATGTACAGGCCTGAAGATAATTTATCGAAAACAGACATACGCTCGCCAAATTGCCTTTTGAATTTACTTCGTTGCTTATTTATAATTTCCAACTTACACACCACCATTACTGGAGCGAATTTGGTATCTGTTTTCAATATTTCATCCCTATTAGGTCACATAGACTTGTTAATTAAATGGCCCTCATAGATTTTTTTTCCTGGACTAAATGTGAACAAGACTGACGCGGCGAGATATGCAGAATTTAATGACGCTATAAAATTTAATGGCCTCTTATTCAATTGCTCACGGACATTACATGCTAATGGGACTAACATTTCAAAAAAAAAACAGCCTAGGAGGATCGGAAGTGATCTGGCATACGGATGTACATGGCGCGAAGGGTGAGAGAAGTTGTTTGCATGAGCCCGTTTGAGTTAGAGCGAAACCCCGTCAAATATGATTACGACTGCACAGCATGGGACATAAGTCAGTTATGTGGTGGAACGGGAGAGAGGATGGGATTATGTCCCTTGCTGATTTACCATAGCAGTGCGAGGTGGATCATGTGATATGACTGCTTACTCAGTTCCGACTTTCTCCTCCATATTGCTGCGGCACCCGAATAGCGTAGGAGACGCCCATTTGAAGTAGGACCCCAAAAGCATCCGTTGGATTCACCACTTAGCCAGTGTCCATCCGCTGTTCCGAAATTGAACTCCTGGATACCTTATTTTTCGGTCTCAGCAGCAATCTCGGCATATGTTCAACTGACAGAGCTGTCGACTGTCTTACGCGCACCCGATGTATTTGCATCCTCAACTAGATATAAAATCATAGACACAGTTTAATTTGGCGTGGATAGGCAAAATATATTTAATCGTTCTTTTTGGAATAAGCGTCGCGGGGCATGTATACTTCATTTAGAGAGCGCTTATACCCATCTAGTCGTCCATCGATGTCATCGCTTAGTGATGTCTGACACAATCAACTTTGAAAGGGAAGTAGATGTCCAGCGACTTTTAGCGCAGAAAGTTCTGATGGACTTTTTTGTCCAGGATGACGGTGCTTATCAATAAATTTCTCCGGATGCACGATTCTGGGAAAAACGCCCCTCAGGAAACCTGTGGCGGCCAAGGATGTTAGATCAACTTAAACCACGCACAACAAATTCGTTTCGTCTAATGTCCGAAGTCAGGGAGTTGTGAGGACAAGTATATTCTGTACATAGGATAGGTTTCGTAAGTTTTCTGTTTGTTTGCGACAGAGATAAGCGTCCGTTCACGGAGTGTGTCAGTCGCGGTGTGTAGTTCACGCGGGGCTGATAGTCTGTGTCATTAGTTGGGGTTGACTGGCTGAGTGCCGGTCATGAGATTGGACGGATTAGGGGAGGATTAGGGGGACGCATAATCACAGGGGCTCACGGGTATCAAGCCAGGACGTGTGTCAGCGACCTGGCAACGATTGTCGCTGCCATCGACCGACAAAACGGAGCCGGAGAAACGGGGTACTGGAGCGGCTGCCACAGTTTGTCCATGAGCCGGGGCCGAAGTGTTTCTAAACGTCGACCAGGATCGCGTTGGCTCCAAGTGGATCCTCACTGAACAGCTGGTGTACGACTACGGTTGCTTCTGAGATTGAAGGCGGAAGGTCCAGGTCGTTGTTCGTTTCTATTTCGGGGCACCGTTCGGTGGTATCATCAGCGATCGTGGATGAGCGGTTGAGGACACCTTCGAAGGGCTCCGCCCAGCGCTTCAGAATATGCGTTTTATCCGTCAGTGTTGTTTCGCCAGAGCTAAGAAGCGGAGCGGTTTCTTTAGCTTCTGGGCCGTAGACTGCCTTGATTGGTACTAAAACCTTTTCTGTTGCATTGTAGTCCGCATACCCCTGAATGTTTTCGGCTTTGCAAACCATCCAGGTGCCCTGCATCTAACGCGATCATTTCTGCACAGGGCGGCAACTTCTGAAAAATGCCACTTTATTTACATCGAGCCTGCGCAGCCTGTTTTTTTTCGGCAAATGTGTCGCCGATATCTGCGTTATCGCTATCTAACCGGTCCCGATGTTGACGCTACGCGCGCCCGAGGACGTCCAGGGCAGTGGAACGGATACAATTTCGCAGTTAATCCTGGCGAGCCTTCACGGTGGTCTTTCCATCTGGAGCTTACAGACTTTCCAGTCTCCGAACCAGTTACTTGCTGAATTCGGAGCGGTAAGCAGGCAAATCCAGCATACCATACCTGGTGATCGCTTACCTTATCGTCTTCTGCGAGGTTGCTATCGGAGCCTCATCCTGCATATGACAAGGGGGTGGCCGGTTCAGTCGTTTGCATCGCAGATCGCCTTTTTTACCTGTACGTCCTGTCCATCTCGCCTCCTGATGTGAACGTAGTCCAGTTGCTGCCAGTGTAGCAATCGTAGGTGAGAAGAAAGTGATGTTCTGGGCAGGTTCGTAGAAGGAGGAGGCCGTTGTCGTTACGACCTCCGAGAGCATGGGGACACAGCGCTACCTCCCAGGCAACGTGGTTTGTTCCAACACGGCACTGAAGTCACCAAGGTCAGCCACTTTGTCCGCCTTCGCAACAGTCTCTAGGAGGACGTGCATGTCCTCGTAAAATTTGCTCTTCGTGTTGTCGAAGCTGGCCATAGGGAGGCGTAGATAATGATGGTGGCGAGTTTGGCTCCCCGAGAAGTCAGGCGCAAGATCATAAGACGATCGTTATTGCCTTGTGGCAGACAGTGGAATCGCCCCTCGATGTCATTCTGGATGACGAAGACGATGTCAACATCACGCCGTTCTGGCTTTGGGCGGTCACTCCAGAAGAAGGCGTGGTCTGCCCCCACCTCCTCCAGTTGGTCTTATTCAGAGAACCGGGTCTCTGGGTGCAGAAATGTCCACCCTGTAGTGCGCCATTTCTCGAGCGACTAATGCCGTCCTCCGTTCTGGTCGGTTGCTCCTCGGATTGTCTAAAAGAGAACGAACATTCCAGAGGCTGCCAGAGTGAGCGGACTCACCCTAGCAGACTGCGAGGGGAGCGTATGTGAGTTACAAGAATTATTATTCATTGTGGCGTTTCGACTGCGAGTTTTGCATCTACGAGCCATGATATATTAGCAGATGGCGTGATTCCCCGTCCCTCATTTAAGGTGCCTTTTATAGCCTCTTCCCCTCGAGGGTTAGGCAGTGCTGTGCCTAAGTAGGGCTGCTTAGACAGCACAGACGGCCGCAGAACTCCACTATGGGTCACGTCTTGGTTTAGTGGGAGAGCGACCCGAGTTAGCTTGGACCCTCTCCGTAGAACTTTTGAGAATGGGGGAAGATGAAATGGGAAGGGAGCACAATTACCGGGTGTGGAGACATGCAGCACGGGTACCCTCATCTGGTTAAGTCCGCCAGTTGAGGCGAGGTGGCTACTGGGGTGTTGCCGCTAGGCAGAGCCTGGCTTCGGGGCGCCACATCTGA